AGCCAGCGTCTGGCCCCCTCGATCTGCCTGCTCGCAGCCCTCAACCCCTCCCCCCACCAACGCACTGCTTCTGTGCACGTGCCCCACCTCAGCTCTAATGCCCCTTCCTCCTGTTCACCCCACCCCAGCATCAGCCCTCAGCCCCACCCCTGGAGCCTGTGAAGTCTATTCTCAGCTTCAATTCCATAAAGAAGGGACAATTCCTAGTTGCCATTAAGTTCCTGCAGCCTGTTAGCCTCAGGGACCAAGCGCAGCCTACTGATGCCCTGAGGCGAGAAGCCCTGACCTACTCCCCCAGACCAGCACCCGAGACCAGCGCCCCGAGACCAGCTCCTCCAGACCAGCTCCCCTAGACCAGCACCTCAAGACCAGCACCCCAAGACCAGCTCCCCAAGACCTGCTCCCCGAGACCAGCTCCCGGAGACCAGCGCCCCGAGACCAGCTCCTCCAGACCAGCTCCCCTAGACCAGCACCTCAAGACCAGCACCCCAAGACCAGCTCCCCGAGACCAGCTCCCCAAGACCTGCGCTCCGAGACCAGCTCTGTCTGAGGAAAGAGGCAGGAGACCCCACTCGGGTCCCTGCCAGGTTAGCCAGACTCTGCCGCCTCATGCCCACTGGCCCAGGTGCAGCCTTCTTCCCTCATTTGGTCACATTACTACAGTCTCCTCTGTCCTGGGTAATATTTAAAGGGTCCCCATCATAGTGTGCTGCTCACTCCCCTACACCCAGAGGGACCACTCATTACTGGGTGTTTCAGCCGCCTGGCGCTTGGAGCCAGCCCTGCCAGCCTGTGACCTGGGCTGACCCTCACTCCGCGAGCCGGCTTCCTGCTCTGTGGAGCAATAGGGAAGTATCTGCCCCCAGAAGGTTGGCCTAGAGGCCAAATGAGATGACGCACGGGGTTCCTGGCACAGAAACGGCTTCAAAAGAGTGGCTGCAGGTCATGATATTAACAGCTCTAATGTCCAGAGTAGCGAGGACATAGCCCCTCGTGCCCGTCCCCGCAACTGGGATCACACGCTGACAGCTCACAACCAGGGCTCTGATGCCAGGCAGGGCGCGCCCACGAGGCAGGAGGCCCGCGGGGCCCGGCAGAGGCGGCAGTGCGGAGTGTGTGTTACATGAAAGTGTTAACTTCTGTCCTTCACACACGCTTACTCCCCAGAACGTGGTGGGGACCCTCCTGAGGCCCAGGCCCGCTCCCCCAGCTGGTGCTGCGAGGCCGGCTGGCCGCCCTTCCAAGCACACAGAGCAGTGTGGGCAGCGCTGGGTCGGCAGAGCAGCGGTCAGGGCCCTGGGCAGGCACGGTGGCTCCTGGCCTGCAGGGGTTCCCTCAGCACCACAGACATGGGCTCGGCCAGCCAGGCAGCACCTGCTGCTGGTTCCCTGGGTGCGCCGGCTGGCAGGTGGGGCTGAAAGGCCTGTACACACCAACGGGGGCAAATAACACAGAGGCACAGCCCCTCCCTCCTCCCGGTCCCCGGGCCTTTCTCTCCAGCCCTGAGAGCCAGGATGGCCCAGGGCTGTGCCTGGGAGCAAGGTCCCCCCAGAGCAGAGCATGGGCTGCCAGGACCTGCAGCGCTGAGGCCTGCTGGCCTTCTGCAGCCTCTCTGCCCCACTCTCCTCAGGCTTATGAGGGCTCCCCCCTTTTCTCCCCTTATTGGACTCATTGGACCATCCTCTTCTAACACCCCCCTGTTCCTAGATCTGCCATCTTGGGCCCTCTCTCCCCAAGTCTGTTTTGCATATTCTCCCCACACTGTCCCCCGAAGCATGACACACCACAACACCCTCTTCACCCAGTCACCCATGTATTCATCCAAAATGTGGGTCCCTACCCCATGGCTGGCATCGTGCCCTCCCTCAGCGCTCACACTCCGGCTGAAAGGGACCACAGCCTGGCCAAGACTTGGATTAAGGGTGGAGGCAGCGGCGGGGAAGCCTCTGGGTGGGGAGTGAGGGAGGCGGCAGAGCCAGGCTGGCGCAGGCACCTGGCCAGCACCCTGTGGTGATAAGTGAGGTGCGGAGGGTGCGATCGGTGACGGAAGCCAGAGCCTTCGGGCCTTGAGGCCAGAGCGGACCCTGGGGTTTCACAGGTGCCAGCGCACAGCTGTAAGCAGGGGAGTGACTGGTCTGGCATTTTCCAGTCATTCTCTCAGGCAGCTGTGTGGAGCATGGGGAGCGAGAGGCGATGGGGGGCCCATGGGAACCCAGCAGGAGCTGATCGAGAGCTGCTAAAAGGACATGTGCAATGACATCCGAGACGTGGTCATTCAGATCGACCAAAAAGGGGTCATTGCAGGGGTGACCCCCAATTCCTGCCCACTCCCGATGGCGCCCCCTGGACTGGACTCTCTGCCAGGAACATCAGGAACCGTGTGGACTTAACTGTTTGTAGACACCCTCACTCTGAAGGCCCAGGGCAGTGCCTCATCTGAGCAGACCCTCCTCCTCCCAGGTCCAGCTGAAGCCGCCATCGGTGCCCAGCACCACCTCACGCTCCCCTGCCCTCTTGCTGTCATCTCCCCGCTAGTGATGCTGTGGCCCTGAGCTGGGCACAGGCCGCACTCGGAGCTCAGGCACAGACGCCTTCCGAGCCCACGGAACAGGTGAGACCTAGGGCACGTCCACGGGCTGGTTTCGCCCCAACTGCCCGGGCCTCGCCACCGTCACGCTTGCCTTTATAGGGGAGACACCGCCTCCCAAACAGGGCTCGTCCAACCCTGGCCCATCGGAGTCCATGCCCCGAAGGGGGGCCTAGGAGCCAAGTCAGAGCTGGGCCCCGGCCACGTCAATAAAGTGAAGGAGGGCCCGTGTCTTCCTGACTCCAAGAGGGTTTCAAACGTGGCGGGGCCAGAAGTCCCCGTTAAAGGAACTGATCCAGGGGTAACCCCCACCCCATTCAGTAGGGCCTGGGGGGGGCCCTGTAATCGCATGTTAGCCCCTCACAGGGCCATGGTTCTCCGAAGCAGGAAGTGCAGAAACTGCTGAGGGACAAAGCCCTGCCCTAGGCACCAGCCCCCAGGGGCCCAGAGAACACGGATACCTCTCCCACCACAGGTGGGGTGTGTGCTGGGGACAGGTCAGATGCCCTACCCTCCGGGCCAGGGAGCTGGGGCTGCTCGATGGGCCTCTCCCACTACACGCCTGTGGGAGGCCAGCCGGCCGGCAGGGGTGGGATGAGCTTCGTGGTGACTCCACTAAGCACTCTGCCCTGTCTAACTCTGCCCTTAGCAAATGCAAGAAGTTAGGGCCAGTGATTCACAGTCCTTCCCCTTAACACACCCTCTCCATTTCTTTCAAGCCTCCACCCAGCACCAACCAGGACAAGAACTAACAGATGGAACTTCCTGCTCCACGGGGCACAGGGGATTCTTCCAGGAACTTGAGCGGGGCCTCTCTGGACCTCTGCCAGGGGCATGCCCAAGGGGCTTCCATCATGTGAGCAGCTCGGGGTGGCGCCTGCTGGATGCAAACAGACCAAAAGGCCATCAAGTAACCAACATGCGGACCCAGAGGCAGGAAGGGACCCGAGAGAAGAGTGTGCCATCCGCTCGGAACCTTGGCGATCCCTGGGCTGTCACAGGACGGGACGCAGGAGGCCTCCTGGCTGGTCAAGGGCAGCAGCACAGGGAAAGCCAAGACACGCAGCTCAGACTCCCAGCCTGGCAGAGCGGGAGGTTCCTGTTCAGGCGGGGACCCAAGACCAACCCACAAGGACAGGCTCAACATGCGGTGGCTGGGAAGGCCCCTTCAAGTCCCACAAATACCTTCCTCCTCCAGCCCCGTGTACTGCAGGCAGGATCGGCTCCTGGAAGCGGCAGGAGGCTTCTGCCCATATCCCAGCCACTGCTGCTGCTCACAGCCCCACAGCCTGCTGGCACCGCGGGCACAGTGCCCACTCTGAGTGCATCCTGCTCCAACACTCATTCCAAATGCACCCTCCTAAGCAAGACTGATCTCCCTCACCTACAGATGCAGGTCACAGTGCCTCCCTTCTGGAATTACTGGCAGTTAAAGGATAGAAGTTTAATATAAACCGCCTCACAGAGCTGGCACTGAAATTAATTCATTCCCTCCCTTCCTGCTCCTGTGACAGTTTCTTGTCTCAGCCCCAAATCCAAAGAGATCCCAAGCTCACCCAACTCAGACATGCCAATGGGGCCCAAAGGCTGAGCATAAATATTCCCAATGAGCCCTGCGGCTCCCAGATAGGCCTGCTCGGGAGCTCAACTCCGAATTCATTGCTCAGCTGCAGCTGGGGCTCGGGTCTGGGCGGCGGCTCCGTCCCCTGAATCCTACAGTTCTCAGTGCGGGAGAAAGAGCCTGCGGGACTGGGCAGCGGGGATAAAGAAGGCCACACACCCGCGTGAGGTCTTTTTAAAAACATTCGGAGGTGACCGAGTCACCAGTAAGCGTGGAGGGTCACAGGTGCCAGCACTCCCCCCAGGTAACCCCACCCTCCCGCCCAGCCCGGCCTCGTGCGCCACCAGGTACATTCTGAAGCTGGGCGGTGAGTAGTGTCCATTCTGACCACGGGAGTCCCGGCGTTCAAAGTTCCCCTGGAAACTACCCTGGTTCCGAACCCCCAGCACGCACAGGGCCGCGTCTCGCCGCAAAGGAGATGCGATCAGCTAACCTCCCGCCCCTGGGCCTCCACCCGCCCGCGGAAGTGGCGCCTTTCCCGGAGTTTCCACGACAGGCCGGGCTCCCGGGAAACACACTCCCCGGCACCCTGATAGTTGTCCCCACATAGATCTCCGCATAGAGATGCGCGCATCCGGGGAAGCAAGGCCTCCAGGGCCCGGCCCGGGACACCGAGAGGGTCTGGGCAGCCCGTGCACGCGTCTCCGGTGGTGGCCGCTGTCTTCCAGGGCGGGAACCCGTTCGGAGCGCCCCGCGCGCCCGTCTGGCCCGTTCCCGAGGCCTGGAACCCGGGCCCGGGGCGGGCGGGCGCTGGCGGGGCTTAGGCGGGGCTGGGGTTGCCGCGCGCCTCACCTGAGCGGGACGAGGATGGCCAAGTACCGGTCCACGGCCACGGCCAGGAGGCTGAAGATGGAACTCTGCGTGAGCACCAGCACGAAGCAGGCGAGGAAGAGGCAGCTGTAGAAGTCGGTGCAGAAGCCCAGGCTGATGGTGATGGCAAAGGGGATGGCAAACAGCCCCACGGCCACGTCGGCCGCCGCCAGGGACACCAGGAAGTAGTTGGTGGGCGTCTGCAGCGC